GGCCTGCCGAACACCCTCATGCCCCCCCAGGCCTGCCTCGCCCAGGGTTTTCCATTGGAAAATGACACGGCAGTCACCTCCATCCCCTCCGCCTGGCCTCTCACTTCTCCAAAGAACGTTCCGGCATGAGCATCGCGTTTGTCTGCTCTGCCAGGACTGCGACCGAACTTTCCCTTTTTATTGCTCTTACTGGACTTGCCATCAGTACTTTCCCATGACTTTGCATGTCCTGTCACCCGACCGGCGACATTTCCTCTAGTTCACATTTGTGCCAATTTCCCCCCCACAGACAGGACTCGGATGCGCATCTCAGGCACAAGGCCTTGTGCTGGGGATAAGTCATTTCCACAGACCCGGCTTCCCGAGGTGGGTTTTGGAGTCCGTGGGAGTTGACATTTCTATGGTTCTTGCCACACAGTGTCATGTTGCTTCCCAAAAGGACCGAGTGCTTTGCCGGCGCACCAGCAAAGAAGGGCCTTGACCACACGTCCCCAGCCTGGGTCCCACCTGCAGAAATCGGGGCGTAGCCGTGTGAGGGAGGATGGCAGGCGACGTGGTGAAGGGAGCCTCGTCTGGCACAGAAGGTCACCCTGCCAGCGGGCCCCCAGCAGAGTGAGCCGAGGCAGGAAGACACCAAGGGGCTGCCCCGGGGGGGGGGGGGGGGGGTGGGCACATGCATGACACCGTCAGCAAAGCCCTGCACTTGGGCTCAGGACCAGCATGCGATTAATTCCAGCCGCTTCCAGGCCACCAGGTGGCTGTGCAGGTCTTGGGCTCCTAACGAGTGGAACAGGGGTCCTAAGAGGCCAGTCCTGTCCACCTGCTGGAGTTGCAGAGAGAATCAGGGATGAGAAGAAAGTGATGCCGAGTCTGCAAAATGCCAGGTGAAGAAGCCAGCCCCTCCCTGGGGTGCGGCAAGGGCCTGGTGCTGCCATCTGCTCACACTCCCTCGCAAGGGGAGGGGAGGCTCTGGGTCCAGGTGCCACCACGAGCCAGGCAGCGGCAAGGGGCCCTTTGCCACCCCCAGCTCCCAACAAGGGGAGGAGCAGAGACAAGGGCCGGGCAGAGCATGTGGCTCCGATTTCTAGCCAGCAGACGGGAGGGACTCCCAACCCCAGGAGAGCTGGGATGGTGGGTGGCAGCAGCCCCAGCCTGGCACTAGGGAGTGTGCGGCTCAGAGGGCAGACTCCTAACTGCATTCAGAGGGCTCTGCGGGAGGAGGCGACATCCCAGAGGGCCTTGCTGGAGGGGGAAGTTTCAATCCATTCAAACCCTCCGCCTGAGCCAGAGCTGCCGCCCACGTGGGCGCCCTCCTTCCAGGCAGAGTGTAGGCCCGTGAAGCAGGGACCACGTTCACAGCCGAATCCCCAACAAAGGAGTGAATGAACTACACCAGGGCTCCCACGTCCTGGCCCAGGGCACCCAGACGCTGCCTCTCAGAGCTGGGCTGGGTCCCGCTTCCCTGGGCCATTCCCTGTACCCAAGGCCCCATGTATGGCAGGAAACAGCCTCTGCAGGAGGGCGAGGAGGCCCACGTGTCACTGAAGGGGGTGGGGCAGCAGGACCCAGGTGCTCACTCGATCTCAGAGCTGGGGGAAGACAAGTGCCCTGACTCGCAGGCCTGAGCCTGTGCACGTGCTGGTCGCTCGGGGCCCGGGGA